GGGGGGGGCAAAGTCCACTCACGCTGCCCTTGGCTGCAGGAAAGCAGGTGGCTACTGAGGTGTCCCTGCAGAGGCCTCAGGTGGGGCCATCACAGCTGGGGCTCTGGGGCGGCTCTAGCTGTGCCGGGAGGCCCAAGAAGCGTCTCTCTCTTCCAGGCATGCGCCATCTGCCAAATCCTCCTGTGGCCCGTTTTTTAAAAGACCTTGAGCTTTTACAAGAGTTTGATGTCTTTAGAGTTTTGTTTTTTTCACAAAATGAAAGAATGTGGGCAGAGCCCAGCTCCGGCCCTCATGTCTCGGTGAGGTGCTGGGCGCCTCTCACAGAGCAAGTTTGCTTGCCTCTTGTGGGGTTTTCCAGAATCTGTTCTGCACTGCAAGGGCTTTCTGAGCAACTTTTACTGAAACCTGGGAGCAGAGGCTGCACCGGGTTTGGGGGTCATGTGTGGCTGTTGGGCTAGAACTTGGGAGGTTTACCTCCGGGAACCCATGTTTTCCTTCCCACTGGTGCTGAGGCCCTTTGGAGCCATCGCTGCTGATGGAGAAAGGATGCCACCGCTCGCTGGAGGGTGCATTTACATCCTGAAGAGCTAGAACTCACGGTACCTCAGGACTCTCCTGAAAGCCATATATGGAAGCATCTAGAGGCACAAAGAGAAGCACCTCATTTTGTATTTGCCCCCTGCAATGCTCTTAGGTCTCCCCAAATGCATACACTGAGAGCCTACACCGACATGGATGGTATTAGGTGGTGGGGCCCTTGGGGGTGATCAAGTCACGAGGATGAAGCCCCCAGAAACGGATTAGTTTCCCCAGGAGGGTGCCCTCGGGAAGGTACTTCAAGGGGCTCTTTCTCTTCTTCTCCCCGTGAGGACACAGCACCAGGACTCTGTGAACCAAGAGGCTGACACAGGACCTGTCAGTGGCTTGGTCTAGGAGTTCCAGCCTCCAGCATGGCGAGAAATACCTTTTTGTTGTTAGGATTTCAACAAATGAATCCGGGGACAGCCACATTTCACCAATGGCAGCTCTGGTTGGACCCTAGAGAAGGGGGGACAGAGACCACTGGGAGCGTTACAGGCTGTGCACCCCGCCAGGGCTGCCCTGACATGCAGCCATGAGCCAGAGCCAGAAACCCCAGGAATGAGGCGCTCCCGAGTGCTGGAGGCCTGAAGCCACCTTGCCCACCAGTTCTGCTCTGGTGACGTCTTCAGTGTGCTGTTCTCTGTATAAACTGTGCTCGCAGCAGCCCATCTTCCAGGGAGCTGAGACGAGGGTGTTAAAGGGAAGAGGCAGGCTTGTGAATTCTGGCTTGCCATGAAAAGGAAAGCGATTTCTGGAAGGTCAGGACTAGCTGTCCGCTTTCTCTGCATAACTATGCCTGTGCAAACAACCAGAAGTTAAATAGTGAAAGACCAAACACATACAACCGTAAATGTTTTCAATTTATTTATTTTAGAAAACAAAGGCTTACAGTTGGTGCCGTAGGCAAGATCCTGTGGATTCAGCAAGTGAGTAATACAGACTTTCAAAACCCTTTATAGATTAGTCCAAAGTAGAAAATTATTTTTTGCCCACTCTTGGACTCGGACACATTCAGAAAAAATATATATTTATAAAAATAAATGGCAAACCTAGTCCCACCAACTGATCCTCTTAACACCCAGCACTGGTTTATTTGAACAATTTCTGCATAAGAATAGCTCGGTGATTTTCTCCCTGTCCTACCTCCATATTTGAAGCAAAGATGAAAGAACTTAAATTACTCTTTGCAAAGCCCAAACCAAAAAGCCCCTGAACCCAACACAAGAAACACCAAGACTGAAAATTCACTAAACAAAAACAATAAAGCGAATTAACTATTCACACAGACCTTCCCAACCTCTAGACACTCTTAATGCTCCTTCGAAATCCCACACTTTGCTCTACATATGAGGAAGGCAACAAACACTGCAGGTGGGATACACCTCAGACAAGTTTCAGGGCAGGAAGCCAGACAGATGGCGACGCAGCCGGGGAGGCGCACCAGAGCCGCGTGAGGCCTGCAGTGGGTAGGCGTGTGCTTTCCTGCCAGACATCTTTTAACAGTTTCTGGGCACCACTCTGCCACAGCGAGCCGGAGGAACTGAGTCTTGGGAGTCGCCGGACAGCAGACTCCTGCACACCCGAGAGACAAGGCAAGATCCACCTGCCTGCAGGGCTCCCCCCACCGCCGGCGCCTCAGGATGCATCGTGGAATCAGAAGAATCCGACACTTTCCTACGAGATTAACACATTCATTTTGCAGCGACTTTTCCTCACCAGCGCTGCTGACACACTGAGGGCAGCGCGCAGCGGTGAGCAAACATTTTAAATCTGTGACAAGCGTGACATCCGGAAATAGGAACAAGTAAAAAGCAAAACCTTAGTACAAAATAAAGTCACTCGCCTACAAACCATCTAGACGATTTGTGTCCCAACAGACTGAAAACACGGACCGCGCAGCACGGCCTGGGGGAGACGCGGCGACAGGCAACCCAGCGCCGGGAGTCGCAGCCCGAGCAGCACGGCCGCCGCCCCAGCGCTGCCATTGACTCGACAAAGGACAAGGACGTGTGTGAGGACACCTGATCTGAGAACTCAAACGCATCCCACGCCAGTCCGCTCCCGTCAGTGCGGACACCAAACCTTAGACGCGAGCCGGCCTGGAGGCTGAGCAGGCCCGCGCCGGCCCCCTCGGCGGCGCGAGGGGCAGGATTAGCGATTAGGGGCAGGATTAGCGATTAGCGATCGGCGATCGGCTCTCGGCTCCCGGGCTCGCGGTCTGGGCCCGTTGCAGTGCAAGCGCCGCCGTCCAAAGTAAACAGAGGCCGCCTCTGGGAACAAAGCCCTTGGCATTGCGGCATCAGGCCCACAAGTGACATATTTTAAGTGATTAAACCTTTTAGAAGCTTAGTAAGATCCTAATTTGCGCTGGGTAACTCAACTACTCATAATCACCCGTGTAACAGTCACCCACTGACCACCCTAAACTTAGCTCAGAGATGAGCTCATCTACAGCAAACAGCAAACTGTCGCTTAAGCACGTGCCAGGTGAGCACGCCTGGGGCGGAATCCCCGAGTCGCGGCCGCAGACAGAAGATGGGGGCACTGGCTGAAGTGGCTGACAGAAAGGGATGGCGAGTCTCCAGCGCCGGCAGCACTGTTATGCGCAGGCTGCGCTGCCACTTCCCTAAGGACACGCGCGCTGGGAGGTGTCAAAGCCCTGCTTACAGGCGCTGTGCACAGCACAGGCAGAGCAGAAGCTTCTGGACCACCACCAACCTACGATATATGCTCCTTTTAAAAAACCAGCAGGAGCCTTTTAATCACAGGAACTTTGTAGAAGGAACCCTAGACACAAACGGAGGAGACGCCGGCTGTGGTGGCTCACGCAGGCAAGCAACAGAGCCAGCCGGCCCAGGTCTGCTCGCTGCTCCAAGGAGACCGCCTGGGCAGTGAGACCGTCTGGGCCTTGCAGAGACCTAACAGGAGACTCTTCTCCCCACTCTATAGGTCTGTAGGAAAATTTGCAATAATGCAACTGAGTATAAATTTAAAAAGTAATCTATTTTCTCCTTTAAAAACTACTAGCAAAATAAAATTGCTATGCTATATAAAACCAAATTTTCTTTATTCTTGTCATCTTAACCTGACCTGTGGAAAAGTTACTCGTTTCCCTTAAAGTGCCTAAATGTTAAAGACTTAATTTGTCCATATAAATGTTATCCAAAATATGTGAGGAGAACGGGTGGTAGAAGGTGGAGGCTTTTCTACATCACACACGTATCTTTTCTGCCTGACTGACCAACTTGAATATTCTGCCCAAAGATCTCGATTTTGTCACAGAATATTCAGGTGGACAAACATGCACACAGAACTCATCTAGCAACATCTACGAGGCGCGCTGATGTCGGACGGACTTTGCTGGTTGTCTTACACAGGCATTTCCTTCTTGCGCCAACTCCCCATTTACGGCAGGACACCTTTAATCCATGCAGTTGATATTAGCAAAACACAAGTAACATGTTCTCTTCTGTGAAGATCATGATTAAGCATCTACACCCGCCGCACAGAGGCCGGCCACGGCCCCTGCCAAGCCCTGGCCCAGCCGAGCGTCAGTCCTTCTTCTTCTCTAGCGCGTCTTTGGGCGCCAGCGCTGCGGGCTCGGACGCGTCTCCACAGCGCGGCCCCTGCTGGTCCCGGCTCTCGTCTGCCAGCTCTCGCTCCTCCAGTTCGCTCCTGGACACCTCGTAGCGCTCCTCTATGTAGCCCCCGTCCGCGTCGGCCGTGTAGATGCCGTAGCACATGATGCTGATGACGCCCAGCGGCAGGCCGAAGAGGAAGCAGCCCATGAGTGGAGAGCTCCTGAATATGGACTGTGGAGACACAAGACGGCGCTCACCCTCGGGTGCGGGCGACAGAAGGCCCGACTGTGAGGGCCGAGGCGCCTCCCCTAGGCGCCTCCCCCGACGCTGCCCAACCTGCCGCTGGGTCTGGAAGAGCAGCGTCTCCTCCCGCAGTAACTGCCGTGTGAGTGGCGCTGCGAGCAGCAGCAACGGCAGCGTGTGGCAGCCAGCTCCTGGCAGTCAAGCGGGCACCACACGAACGCCCCAGAGCCAGGGCAGCAGCCTCACTGCTCCCGAGGCAGGCCATCTGCCAGAAGAAGGTAGAGTCTCTTTTAAACACTCAACATTTGGTACTCCCCTGGTGAGTGGGGAAGCCACACCCGCTTACCCGTCCCCAGTTTATACCAGTCTCCTCAGTGCCCAGAAAAGGAAAATTGTAGTGTGGAGGTTTCTCAGCTATCCTCTCTCAGGGTCATGCCTAGTAAGTGCTGAGAACGGTGAAGGCGAACTCAGGAGAGCCCGGTCGCTCTGGATAGTGGAGGGCGGCGTCACAGGGCAGAGGTGTTTCAAGGTGGAAAATGGAGGAGGAGAGTGAGGCACGTCGAGGTGCAGCCCGAGCCTGTGGCTGGAAGCCCCGGGACGCTCAGTCAGGGATGAGCAGGATGTGAGAAAGGGACAGAGCATTTCACTGTGCACCTCTGGGAGGGGTGAGGGAGCAAACCAGTGTACAGCGAGGCGGGAGATGCAAGGCTGTGTGAGGACACCCGTAGGCCAGGGGGCAGGAGCAGCTGCCCCGGGAGCGAGGGCCTCGGAGGTTGGAGGCCACGGGGAGAGGGGTGGGCGACAGACTGACGCCCCACAGAGCAGCCACAGGCTCACAGATGTCTCTCTCCAAGAGAAGACGCCGGCTCTTCCTTAACACTGGCTTCTGGCCAGAAGGCAGGGAGACGGCCCCGGGGAGTTCAAGCTGGACCCCAGAACTAAGCTTAGCGCTCAGCGGCTCTCAGCGCACTTCACCGGGAAGCTGACTGAGAGCTGCTTAGGGAGGTTTCCAGAGCTCTGAGCAAGTGAGGACGCAATGTGGAGTCCCACTGTCAACCACCGGATTCTGAATTGCAGTTAACTCTCCAATCATGTGGATATTCATTTAAAGAAAACTAACTTCCACCTGATAAATGTATGCTCTTAATAAAAATACATTTTTATTTTGCAAATTAAAAGATGTCTTTTTACCAAATTATTTGAAATTCCAGACTTTACATTCGTTAGACAGTCTACTTACACGTTCTCAATTATTAACGACACTCAACAAAGTGTCCTGACTTACCACAATGGTAGATTTGGCATCGAATACTATTCTTTTCAATCTCTGCAAAATGCTATCGCCTCCTTGGGCCTGAAATTTAACAGGAAGACAATGAGCTTGTGCTTTCAGGCTGCACCCTCACTTTTCCATGTTCTACGTGCAGAACAGAGCGCCTCAAAGCCTGCACAAGGCCCCAAGGCCTGGCCGGAACTAGAGGCTGCCCTGGGCCCTGCCCCCTGCCTTCCTGCACGCCCCCTGAGCCTCAGGAACTCGCCCTGCCCCCTGAGCCTCAGGAACTCGCCCTGCCCGCTGTGCAGCGTGGCTGAGGCTGCCCACCCAGGCCCAGGCCCAGGCCCAATAACGGAACCTGACTGCAGAGGCTAAGGGGTGTCGCCAAGGGACCCTGTGGCTGTCAGGGGCACCACAGCCCAGAAAGCGACAATGTTGAGAGGCAGACAAAGCCCTGAAGGAAACCGGCCAATGTCCACATTCAGCCGGTGCTGAGGTCTGGCCCTTTCCAGCCTGTCCCTCTTTCTGAATCAGCTCGCCAGGCAATTCACCCCTCACAAATCCCTACAAAGTGTGTGTTTCCAAGGAGAGCCTTGCTAATGTTTGACATGTCTCAAGTAAAGTTTGGGTAAAGCTGAGACAAGTCCTACAAAAGACTTCAAAGTTGAGGAAAGCAACGGCTTCTCATTTTCCGTGCGGTCACTTCCCATCTGCTGACTCACAGAGCCCGGCTGCTCGGGAGCTGTGCATCGGGTCCTTCAGCACGGGCTGCAGCCCCTCCTCCGCAAGCCACTGCAGATGATTCTCGAGCAAAACAGCCAGTTAAGACTGCCCACTCATTCGTTTTGAGAAACCTTTCACAGGATGTGACTCGGTTCCATGGGGCTGATTCTCAAGACGTCCCCTTATCTCTGCAGAAACCGTGGTGCTACCTGCAGGTTTCTTAGAAAACCCAGCGGACTAAGCTTTGCCCGCTGTACTACGAGCCAGAGGGGCACCAGGACCCGAAAGGGTGCAGTAGGGGGCTGTGGCTGCACACCTCCTCCCACCCGGCCCTGCTCTCAGTGCCGGCGGCACCTCCAACCACGGGGACCCCCATCGTCCTCCCCGGAGCCCCAGGCAGGCGAATGCACCGCTAGTGGCCTCGGGCGCTGAAGTGCGGCCGGGGTCTGGAACGTGACTGCCTCTCAGCGGGAGGAGCGGGGGGCTGCCCAGGACGGCCGTCCGGCCTTTAGAAACAGCTCAACCACGTACTTCTACTGTGCCGTCCAAGATGCTGTGAATGAACTGGACCATGTCCTCGGCACTCCTGAGCTGTCTGTCCAGCAAGAAGTACTGCTGGTTAGAGGTATTCAGGACGACGACGGTGGGGACCGCCAGCTCACTGCAAATTGAGAAGCACAGAGGACGATGCATGAAACACAGATCCATAAAGTGAGGGAGACGGACAGCCGCTGCTCCCCTTCTGCTACATGGCAAAAACACTGTCATTTGTATCAATCCCAACGGGCTAAGGTGAAATTATGAAACACTCCAACGAGCAGTTCAGACAATCACTAACCCGACTACACGTGAGGACAGAAGCCATCATGTGAGACCAATTCCGGGCAGTACCCCCTCACTGCCCACTCCGAGCCACGTACAGCCCATACGGTACCTCAGTTACAAGACACCGCAGTCACTTAGGGAGGCCACGGCCTCGGCATGACGCTGTGCTCCCAACAGAGGCTTCCCACACAGTTCCTGAAGTCGAATGCTTTTCACTCACAGATGAATAAAAGGTGAAGGGAGTAAGAGGCACTTCAGGGGAAACTAAGCTGCTATAAAAATTACATGAGGAATATCAAGTTAAGTATTCAGCACAGCGCTTGTGCATAATGCATGCTTAATAACCACAACTGCAAATTCTCAACTCCACTGCCGTGTCTATCCCACCCGGATCAAGACTTGCTCCACGGGTCACCAGACACCTGTAAACGGGACGGCTCCGGCACGCACCTACCGGCCTGCACTGTTCTTCTGTCAAGGATGGGATTCCACAGAACGAAAGCAGGCGGCCTAACCCACGTGGCACACGCCTCCCGCACGGTGACATGACACTCCCTGGAAACACGCACGAGCAGGAGATGCAGGTGCCAGCACTACACGTGCACCCTGAGCGGTCAGCACCGCTGACTGGACCCCTCCACAGCCCGGGGCCTCCCCCAGCAGGCCACCAGCTCGAGCGAGCCGCGAGTGGGGCTCCGCAGGCTCAGCTCCAGGTGACTGATGCAACATGAAAATGCCTTCCAGGGTCAAGGACAGCAGCAGCCACACAGAGCTGAGCCCACTGCGCCAGGCCGCAGGCGAGCGAGCAGGCGAGCGAGGACCCTTACTGATGGGCTGGGAGGCGCAGCGCTTTATTGCCTGGCACATACCAGGCGCTACCTACGGACTGTGTAGCAGGAAAGTATTTTACCTTATTCATGAAAACAGAAGAGGCGACTTTTTGGTCTAAAGCACTTTAGTTATTAATTACAAAACGTGGTTCACAAAAAAATTTCTACTTTCAGGGGATGGATCAGAGAGAACCTGGTGTTTTCTGTAACCTTCCATCTTCTGAAAAAGTACAGTACACACTGAACTAGAGCCAAATTCAATTTGAGTAACAAAGGAAAACAACACTGCCTCACCGCCATAGCCTCTCTTAGTCATATTCACAAACCCACTGTAAAAGCTCATACTTCAAGGGCCTGATAGTATTTGAGAAAAAAATAGCATGGTCGATGCTTCAGTGTAATTATCTTGTAAGAATATCACATATTTGCCTTAAGTTAAAAACATCTGGGGCATCGATACCGATGAAATCCCACTACTTCATCTGTCAATATTACTGCAACGCTCCTTAGAACCTCAGAGTAACTGAGATCTGGACTGGAAAACTGGATCACTTCAATCCCCATCCTCTCAACTGCTCACTGGGCCTCCTTAGGAATATTTTGGACCTCCTTAAGTTTCTTCTGAGATACTTTCATTTCCTCCCGGGCCCTCATGCTGGAGCCTCGAGTCCAGCCGTCTCCCAGCTCTCTCTGCCACATCTGCCCCCAGATTCCGCCACGTAGTTTACTTCTGATGGGCCGGGGGGCCAGACCGTTCTAGCCCACCAACGCAGGCTACTCCAGTTTGAAAGCCCATGGATTTTAATTAGGTAATGTGCTAAGTGCCTTTTGCTCTGTAATTACGGACAAATTCTGGGAATCAGGGTATGGACGTGCATGGGGAGACTGACCACTGCAGAGTGTGGTGGATGAAAACGGGGACTCAGCTTCCTGTCAAAGCACCTGTCAGATCGTCAGTGCCCACAGCACGGGCTCTTCAGAATCCTCAACCTCCCTAGATCTTCAGTGTTTATCCTGCCACAAAAACACCTTCTCCTTGGCTATTAAATATATCATCTTCCAAATATCAATAGTGCGAAACGAGTTTAAAAACAAAATCTATTTTTTGGCCCTCCCTGGTGGCACAGCGGATTTAAAGAGCAGAATTAAGAAGCTTAAGCCACTTTCACATAGTTCGATCCCCGCCTGCCCCGGAGGTGACCCCAGGGCGCGGCAGACCTCTCCTGACCCGCCCACTGCTCCCCTCAGCAGTGGGCTTCGTCAGTCTGCCTGTTCTGCTCCCCACTCTGTCTCTGGTGAATCCTCTCACCCTCCGCATCTCTGGCCTGTACCCCAGCTCTGTATAAATAAATAAATAAATCTTAAAAAAAAATCCATGTTTTAAGCTTCTGCTGCGTGGCAAGCAACTGAAAAATTCTACTAATATCACTACTGGCTATACATTTTAGAGAAATTAGTTTTTGCCTAATGGAATAAAACTGTGAGAATCATTTCATACCTGGATTTACAATTTGAGATGTCTTTAATCAAAGATAGGGATTAAGAGTGTATCTGCAGGCATCAAATAAAATTGGGAACTGACTAATTCGGTATTTGATGCCACGACACTGATTATCTAGAAAAAATAATTTAGATTCCCTAACATTTTTCCAGCAAATTCTAGGCTTCTGGAGCAGACAAGGTAGCATGGATTAAAGTCTCCCTGTTTCTCCCCACTGAACACCACCTGGAAAGCAAAGCAAGCGAGGGCTCTCAGGGCTAGAGGAAAACAGTGCCAGGCACCCTGCAGCCCTCCGCCCTGCAGTGTCCTCTCCAGACACATTTCAGTGGCGAAGACACCCCAGCTAGCTTCAGTCCTCCTCTGAACTGGGTGGGGGTCCTGCCGACACCCAGCAGCGAGGGGCGGCTCTGTGCCCTTGCGGCTGGGCACCCGCGCCCCAACACTGGCAGAGTCTTGGAAGCACGGGGGGGAGGGTGTTCTGTGTCCCTGCGGCTGGGCACCCATGCCCCAACATTGCAGCGCCAGCTGCCAGCAGGCAGCTTGGCAGGGACAAGCAAGAGATGGTGGGAGCAGGCCACAAGGCTCAGCAGGACTAAAACACACAGTTGCCCCTGGGGCCACAGCCCACAGGCCCTGCTTTCCAGGTGGGAACACCCGCGGCCGCAGGATAGCTGCACGACCCACGAGAGGAAAGCGCCTCACTCGCGGTGACGCAATATTTACCAACGTGGGCGAGACCAATCCCACCGATTACAGCAGCTGAATTCCAAATAAGACAAACCCAGAGAAGTCCGCACGGTACACGTCACACATTTTGAAACATTAACAAAAAAATAAAGCAACTGCAGTGCAAAGCCACGTTTCTCTGAAGGACAGTGACTGTCTCTTCTGAAACCAAAGGTCAGAAGGCAGAGAACTGGCAACCACGAATTCCATACCCTGTGATCAGAAAAGGAAAGGTGTTCTCAGCCAAGAAAGGCTAAGAGAAATTGCTGTGAGCAGACCAACCCTGGGAGAATAGCTGAGAGAGTTCAAACACAAAGAAAAAAAAAAAAGTTCTTGAAAGACCAGGAAGAAAAGTGAAAAGAGCAAAAATGAGTGTAAATACAACAGACTTTTCTCCAATTGTAAAAATCACATGTGGTAGTTGAAACAATATATGCCCTGCACGTGACAGAGTCTTCACTGTAGCTGGTAAATTCTCAAGATAATGTTATCTATGAAGTGAGCCAAAGGGCACAGAAGTCAGTGCCACCGACTACACTAAGTTATGTGTGTGTTTTTTATACCTACAGCAACCACTGAGGAAATAATACAATATACAGACAAGCCTGTAAATAAGTCCAGAGAGACTTATAAAAAGCTATCCAAGCAGTCCTCAGCAAGGCAAGGCAAGGCAAGAATCGGAGGGAACAAGAACATCAAGCCTGGGCTCTGCACCACCGCCTGTCTCGGTCAGAATAGCCCAAACACCTCAACCGACAGCGTGGAGCCGTCTTACAGAGGCCACTCGACCCAACCTCAGCAAAATCCTATTTTTCAAGCGCACCTAAATGATTACTGAGAAAGAACATATCCTAGATCATAAACAACGGGAAAAAAATCTTCAAACCTAAGAGCCACAATTAAACCAGGTTCTCTGATGACAATTACAGGTCAACATTTCTACTACAGATTAACTCACACTGAAGGATCAATCTAGAAGGGGTATGCTCCCACCTCTGAGTCTGAACCAAGGAGTGCACTCCTGGACCCAAACCACATTGCCGCCTGGCCAACATTGCTTTGCTGAAGCATCACACTGGGCCTCGGAGGGACCCAGTGAGGACTGGCTGGACAGAGTCCCCACTATCCACGCCGAGAAAGTCCTCGAACAGTACCTCTCAGTTATGGAGGGTACCCCTCATGCCATTCTACAGCACGGCAAATGCTCTAAGGTTTCTGCCAGGTCAGGTAAACTCCTATCCAGCAAAGCCATTTCATAGGCAACAGGAGATATTTTCAGATATTTTCAGGGTCAAGTTTTTCAAGGAGCATTAACTATATATAACTTTCTTTTCCTCTGGTTTAATTTCTTCATTATATATCAGATCTGGAACTTTGAGTCTTTGCTGAGCCCTACTAGATTCTTTTTGGAATGAAAGGGGAATAAGCGCTGCACAGTAGCAGTGCGACTGTACTTGAGTGTCAAGGTGCTGGCCAACATCAACTGCCCTCCCGTCGGGTTATTCCAAGCTCTACTGTTCTTCTAACAGTCTCCTACACGTACGGCGCCTGCTGTCACGCTCTGCCTGAAGCCCTCTCTGCAGCTCCCTGCAGCACCGCCTCCTGGCCGGCGTTTCCGAGTCCGCCTCGGCGTGCACGGGGCCAGGTGGGCTGCCGGCGGCGCTCGCTCAGAAGGCCCCACGGTCCTCACTGATGCGTCTCACCGGAGGACAGGGCATGTAAAGACAGGCTCCAGCTCACTCATTCTTCTGGAATCAACAGTGCCAAACACAATGTATGCTGTAACACTTGCTAAATTTCTTTCTTTCTTCTTTTTTTTTAAGATTTATTTATTTATTCATACAGAACTGGGGTACAGGCCAGAGGCGCAGGGGCAGTGAGAGGATTCACCAGAGACAGAGCAGGGAGCAGAACAGGCAGATTGACAAAGTACACTGCTGAGGGGAGCAGCGGGCAGGTCAGGAGAGGTCTGCCGCGCCATGTGGTCACCTCCGGGGCAGGCGGGGATCGAACTGATGTGGAAGTGGCTTAAGCCTCCCAGTGCTGCGCTTTAACCCGCTGCGCCACCAGGGAGGGCCCCCACTTGTTAAATTTCTAATGAATAAAGTTCTTGCTTCAAATTCATTAACTCAGTATAGGTTTGATAAATGTTTTACTTTCAGAAATAACATTAGATCTTTTTGATCATAAACATAATTGATGAAATTACTTTAAAATGAGCCATTTTCCTAAATTGTTGATATAAATGCTCTACAATAATTCTGAATGCTAAAAATTTTCTGATTCAGTTACACTCACTTATTAAATCAGAACTTAAGATGTATATTACCCAGAAACTACAAAATTGGCAAGTTTTTGAAAGTCTTCACAAAAAAATATAAATTACAATTAAAATGGGAATTAATATACTTAGCTTTCAAAAATATTAAAACAGTGTTTCGGCCCTCCCTGGTGGCGCAGCGGGTTAAAGCACAGCACAAAGAAGCTAAAGCCACTTCCACATGAGTTCGATCCCCGCCTGCCCCGGAGGTGACCACATGGCGCGGCAGACCTCTCCTGACCAGCCCACAACACCCCTCAGCAAAGTACAACAACGATCGGCCTGGTCTGCTCCCCACTCCGTCTCTGGTGAATCCTCTCACCACCCCTGCATCTCTGGCCTGTACCCCAGTTCCGTATGCATAAATAAATAAAACAGTATTTCAAAAAAAAACCCTCAGTGTCTCAACCTACAGACTTAAAAACTAAAGTAAAAAATTTAATGAGAAAGTTTCTGCATCAGAATATACTAAAGTTGTGTTTCTTTTAACTTCTAGTTGCAACTCTCAGAAAAAGAAATTGATTATCCTGGTAGAAAACAAGTCATTCAATCATTTAGCACTTTACTTACTCCATCAGCAAGGTATTGATATAGTCATTTCCATCCATATGGCCAAACTGAAGATCCCTAACCGATAATAACAACCAAAAAAAAGAAAAAAGAAAATGATCAATAATTAAATAGAACAAGTGCAAATAAAGGCATAGTATAAAGGACTGAACTTTAGGCTTAGGACACATATAAACACTATAAAATTTAACATCTAAATCATCTATGATAAAAGAGATGAATTCTGATTTTGAGGTACAAATACATCAGCAGAATTAATTCTAAGACATTTCCACCTGTTTACATGTTTAAAAAGTAACTGAAGTATATTTAAGAAAAATTAACCATTTACTCTGAAAAACAACAGATCAGAAGATGCTCTTTACTACAGTCGACATGTACCGGTGCAAAATTAGGGTTTTAGAAATAAGAAGTGAACATAACACAAGTTTATAATCATGGTCGCATCCAGCGAGGATTTAGAACAGAACGACAACATCACCTTTTATATTCCATTATTGCTCAGCTCTGGTCACATCACCGTGTCTCTAACACTAGACATTCAGGGTTGCCTCAAGTGCCTGAAAGCCTCTCTAGCACAAATGTACCCATATTCTGTCAGGATGCACAGTTTCATCATAAATAAAACTGTTCTTTCTTCTTCTTTTTACCCAGAGTGGATGCATGCATCAACAAGTTCCGAGTCCTGACAGCTCATACTGGAATGCTCACTGTACAGTTCATACCAGCACCTGAGCCCACCCCTGCGGGCGTGCTGATCCCCCATTTTTGCTTTCCTGAGTTACAACACACAACAAAACAAAGGAAAGGGATCTTCTGGAATGGAAGCACATACCTGTGGAACTGGTCTCTGTAATCTCTAGCAACTTCCTTAATAATTGACTTTAATCTGCAGAAGAACAGACACATGTGTTTCATCTCTTCACTTGAAAAACAGGATTCAATGACAGTATCTGCTGCCTGCCCACTACTGCAGGGAAAGCCAGATCCCTATTAAGCTTATTTGAAGTCATGTAAAGTCTGAAAAGGACGATATCTGGAACTTATTTTATGATACTCACTATACCTGGTATGTTCAGCTGATGTATTTTTCTCATCAATAATTGCAATAGCCACAAGCTTTCCTGAAATTAAAGAAGACATTCAATAAGCCTCCTACACAAACTTCAATTATCACTTCAGTTGCGCACAATGAATTGGTAAATATCGTTTCTAGGTTTAACTGAAATTATCTGACACTAAGAACGGTGCTATAAATTAGTTGATACCAAGTGATAAGTTCCTTTCCAGCTCCTGTTTCCGAAATGTAAACAATAGTAAATGTTGTACAATACTCGCAAATTGCACTTTTTCATACAAACTGATGTAAGTATTCTGCCAGAAGTGAAACTGTAAGGAAAAAAAGTCGATCAAATAAGTTTACTGGTAATTACTGGAGAGCTAAAAGGACGCTGTATAGTAACAGGAAGCCGCTTCTCAGCTGTTCTTTTGCTCCTCGGTACCACGAGCCACTACCTGCCAGTGGCGGTAACGTACCAAAGCTGGCTCATAGCCACTTACGCACCCTGGACTCTAAACCCTTGGCTGAAGTCATTAGCTCACAATGATCTCCCTTCTTGGGAGTGTCTGCATTCACGTCTACCATTTGGCTTCTCTTGTGCTGCTCTAAATTCCTGAGCTTTGAAGATTGCTCATGCAGATTGTGTCCCAACAGCCCAACAGGGGCAGTTTCCTGCTGCTGAGCCCCCCACCATGTCTGGGGCTGGCCAAACCCCAAGGCCAGGGATGGGAAGGGAGGGAAGCAGTCAGCAGGACTGAGCAGTGGACATAACGAGCAGAGCCCTGAAGGAAAGGAGCCGGGTCAGGAAGGAGGGTTCAAAGCAAATGAATGAGGTTAGAGAGTGTCCGTCTGTCCGTCCAGGTTCACCCGAGGAAGCAGCATTTGCTCTGGGTTCGACAGATGAATATAAATGAACTACACAAATTCAGGCAAAGAAAACAGACTGTAAAAAGACTCTTTGGTGCAAGGTACACGGCCTTTTTAAGAATCTAAAATGGACTTGGGGCTGCAGCCGGCAGCAGGCTCGGAGAGGCTGGAGAGAGGGCTGGAGGCCCTGCAGCGGGCAGAGCACCCGGTCAGCCCACAGTGGCCAGCGAGTGGGAGGAGACAGGGCATGTGGTCAACAGGCCTGGGGTAGTGTCATTATGGTGAGTACCCAGCTGGGGAGTAGGCACAACCCTCTGACCACCTCCAGGGCACTTGTCGGACACGAGAGGGGCCGCGCTCGCCCACGGTGCGCGGCTGGCCCAGGAAAGCAGAAGCCGCTTCTGCAGAGCCATCGCGACTGTCTGGCGTCTCCGGGCCGTACCTGCCCCTGTGCTTGGTGTGCTGAACTCTACCCTGTCTACGTCTCTGCCTTTCCTTGCCAGGGGGCCTGAAGAACCAGAAAGGAAACCTCCATCTGTCGACATCTACATAAACGTCCAGCTCTGAGCTCTGTACAGCTCCCTCTACATGTGTCAGCAAGTTGCAAATAGCAGGCCCAGACCAGTGCAAACCAGGCGCGGCACCAGAACAAGCAGAATGCCACAAGAGAGCCCCGAAACAACACGTGGAGCCGTCAGGTCGCTGCCAGCTTGTATTCCGATGTGGTGTGAGCTGGAAAGGGCGCAGAGGCCCACCACAGCCATTTCTGCTACAGAGAAGCGGCCTCAGTCCACTAGCCCTGACCCTCCCACCAAGAAGTCTGTCCTGCTCTCCACTCTGTCTCTGGTGAATCCAGTCACCCTACCCACCCCGCACCTCTGGTCTATTCTCAGAAAGCTGTACATGGAAAGAAAAGTGGCAACAATTACCTTAACTTATTTCTCATGCATAACTCACTATACATTTACAAAACAAGTTCTGTGAAAACTTACTGGTTATCTTCTTATTTACTGGTTTCTACTTGAGACCAAGTAGCTAGCTTCTCACAGGTTCCATTTTTTACTTATATTTGCTTTGCCTGTCACTTTTAATCATGTGACCTTAAGAAACCATCCTAGACCCCCTGGTGGCACAAGGGGCTTAAAGCGCAGCACTATGAAGCTCTCTGTAGCCGCAGCAGCACGAGTTCCACCCCTGGCCAGGGAGTGACCACAGCGCAGCAGACCTCTCCTGTCTCTCCCGCTGCTCCCCTCAGCATTGTACTTCACTGATCAGCCTATTCTGCTCCCCACTCTGTCCTTGGTGAATCCCATCACTCCCCACCCAGCACCTCTGGCCTGCACCCCAGTTCATGTATGCATAAATAAATTAATCTTTAAGAAAAAAAAGAAAGAAACCACCTAATTTGAATCCCTCTTTCTCCTCACAAGGGGAAGCAAGCTTTATAGGTCACTATTAGTGACATTCCAACTACAACGTGAGCCTCCGGAGGATAGCTTCTTGATGACTTCTCATCTTGCTTTACCATCACTACTAGTTAAGTCCCTGGCTAGCTAATTTTCAACCCACCCACACAAGCATGCTTTGGTAAGTGATCTACATCTCATAAAGCAGAACTGGAACTCAGCCCCAAAGGAAGGCACGGCATCACGAGCTAGAGCTTAGGTTCCGTTCAGCACAATCAGCCTGACGCAAGCAGTTGAGGGCCGGCGGGGTGAGGGCTGCATGTTACCCGTGTCTCCGAGCTCATACAGCAGGAATCCATCCACGGCAAGGTAACTCTGAAACCTCTCCCTGTTGATCCAAGCAGACAGGTCACCATCTTCATACTCTTAAAAACAAAACAGAATCAATACAGTCAGATGTGGATCACTTTAAATATTCTTCAGTGTTCTAATCTAGCAAGTCTGCATAAAATGCCTGGGACCATATCTTCAATTCAATCCCAAAATTTCACTTCTAGGGATCTAATCTCAGCAATCAGATGTACAAGGAGATTAAAGGAGATTAAAGCACAAAACACTTCTTCCCTACGTGGTGATTAAAAATAACAAAAGATAAAGCATTGAAATGGTCTACGCAGGGAATAATTTTATGATTACATGCCAAGGAAGATCATTTACAGATTAAAAAATTGTAACAATTAAGTGGTAAGGTTACAAAACATTACAGTCTGACTGTAGCTTTTTGAAAAACAAAGTCTGAAAGAGGAGCTGGCAGAATGAAGGTGCCCGCTCCCATGAGAGGGCATCAGGGTGAACGGTCGTCCACGGTGATGCCTGATGGGAAGGTTTTACTACAATCCCTTTGCTCTTCCCTCCTTTATGACATTTCCACCTGTTCACAACCCTTTCTCCTCTGCAACACACACACACACATACACACACACACAGGATAGTACTTTAGCCTTTCCTGTGTCACATACTTTTCTCTAAGCAGACAGCAGTGTTTTGCAAGACTCAGGAAACTGCCAAGTCCTGTCAGAAATCTGCCACTTGCTCTGCAAGTGCAGGAAAAAGAAGCCGGCCAGTGTGTCCAGCTGAAGAATGGATCTTACTGATTTCTTTAAAGTTTGCCTTTTTTGTCACTTGCATTGCCAAACAAAGCATTTTCGACTTATCAAGCCTATAAAGTAGAATAATGCAAACCTGAAAATGTTCATGGATTTGGATTTACAAACTAGAAAAACAAATAGAACACTGGAAGCTAATCACTGAGCCACACGCCCAACATCACATGGGTGTGGAACTTTTTGGGTCCATTAACTCACTGGAAAACCAACTACCCTGGCCACCACGCCAGCCGACTGCGTCCAGAGATCCCAGCCACCACCCAGCCAGCCTTCTTGCTAATCTGGCGCCTTCAGGCGGCCGGACACTGCCAGGGCAGTGAGAAACGGCGGCTCCGCCAGGGCTGCAGGTGGGTGCGACATCGGGCTGTGGGCCGCTCAGGCCCGGAGCGATCAGGCAGCGCTGCCACCATTGAGCCGAAGGTGCAGGCAAGTCTGTGCCGGCGCGGCCAGGTTTCCCCACAGAACCAGGCGGCGCTTCGGGTCATGACGAGACTCGTATAGAACTTGAGCAGGGGAGCGGAAGGATCCACTGTGATCACACCGTACTTTAAGATAAAGTTAGAAAATGTCTTCCTTGTCCTGTTTCTTTTACTATAACACTGACCTCATGGAACTGATGTAACGGCAACTGAGACAACACACGGGCGAAGTGCTGCAACACATGAGCAAGTGGTCTGAGGAGGCATCTCAGAGGATTATTTTCCTCTCCCTATTTCATATATGCTAGTATGAAAGCAAGTTCTTCTTACTTCCTTTTTATGTTCAATATCTAATACAGACATTCAATAAATGTCCAGAGAATGAACGAGCACACAAATGAACCTGTGATTTACCTATATAGCTACCCCTTGCCTAGCATTCTCTGCTACCTCCTTCATAAACAGGATATTAATCTGCCTCATTACCTACCTGAAAGATAAAATGAAATTACCAAGTAAAAGACAGTAACTTGTATAAACATAAGCAGCAATTACACTATAGTCAGAAAAAATTTCAGTCCTCACATTTACAAATAAGGACTGAATTCTAGAAACACTCAGCCTTCAAAAGCTATCAAAACAAAAAATTCTCCTTTTACAGAAGAGAACAAAAATGCTCCTTATATTGGATATTCTTCTATTTATTTGAATTATTTAAGTAACGCAAAGCTTACTGCTCTTAAGTAGTTCTAGTTTCTTTTGTTATTTAACAACTATCACTCTGGAATGTTTCTGCAGCAAATACAATGTTCTACAACTGTGCTCTCCAACACAGAAGCCAAAAGCCTCACAAGACCACAGAGAATTTCCAGTGTGGCAGGTGCGAATGAGAAAGTGAATATTCACTGTCCTTGCACTATCGCTTAGGAGGCCATCAAGACTGCTGTGGCCCAGCGAGTCGCTCCCCGCATGGCTTGGGCACCTCAGAGAACGGCACAGGGACCGTGGAGGAGGCACTTGATCACGCCAAGAAGCTGTTACATTTTCACATGGCGCATAGCACGTGGCCCCCTGAGAAGTGTCACGGGGTCTGCTCTGAGGTAACGCAGGGAAGGGGAGAAGCAAGTGTGGAGTAAGCCTGGTGGCCATCTCGGCCAGTGGTGGGCGCAGGGCAGCCTCGTTTACCACTCTCTCGACTGTGGGGTCTCATTAAAAACAAACCCAAGTTCTGCCTTCCATGAGGGAAAGCCGGCCAGCAGGTAAGTGGTGACCTCTGTCAAGAAAGAAGATGAAACCAGGGAGGGACACCAGGCACTTCAACACCACTGAAGATGGTTTACATCTTCACCTTTCTTTGTTAGAAATGCTAGGTATCTTTTTAAAAAATTAATTCTGAGGCCCTCCCTGGAGGTGCAACAGGTTAAAGCCCAGCACTATAAAGCCGCAGCTTTCACCTTCAATCCCCCACCAGCGAGGTGACCCACAGGGCGCAGCAGAGTTCTCCTGGCTCCCCCCTGCTCCCCTCAGCAGTGTACTTCATCAGTCATCCTGTTCTGCTCCCCACTCTGTCTCTGGTGAATCCTCTCATCCCCTGAATCTTGCGCCCAGTTCTGTATGCGAAAATAATAAACCTTAAAAAAAATAAAATAAAAACTTCCCCAACAAACCTTTAAAAAAATTAATTCTGAATATTTTAAAATAACACACAGAAACCGACAGGGTTCATCTGCCAAAGAGACAATTTGTCACAAAATTTGAGGGAAAATTCCCAACAGAACAGTAGATGAAAAGAATTAAAGTTGACAGGTAAGAAAACCCCTCAATATTTTAAACAATGGGAACTGTATGTAGTAATGATATTCACTAAATCTTTTATCAATACCTAAGTGCTATAATGGACATGACAGTTAAATTTATCATGTTCTACATCATTTAAAACTCTGAAACTGGCGCAGCGGGTTAAAGCACAGCACTAAGAACCTAAAGCCACTTCAGCATGAGTTCGATCCCCGCCTGCCTCGGAGGTGACCACATGGCGTGGCAGACCTCTCCTGGCCGCCCGCTGCTCCCCTCAGCAGTGGACTTCGGTGATCTGCCTGTTCTGTTCCCCACTCTGTCTCTGGTGAAGCCTCTCACCGCCCCTGAGCCTCTGGCCTTTGTACCCCAGTTCTGTATGCATAAGTAAATCTTAAAAAAAAAAACAAAACTCTGAAACTTACCATCATAAACAAAGTAGGTTTCATCTTTGAAAACAAGCACAGCAGGCATCTCTTTTAAGGTGACATACTGTAAAAAATCACAACTTTAAATACTTTTAATCACTAAAAAAATTTCTATTAATTTCAAATATATTGATTTGGCATGAGAAAACAGAACTTGACAAATAAAAAAAAGATAAAGTTATAGTAAAATGAAAAAGCAGAGCTAAAGGAAGCTCACGTAAGCGGGCGCCTGGCACCTCTCTAGCCACGGGCAGTGTTCTGCTGGCTAGGGCACCTCAGACCAGTCTCAGAGCTGGTAACAGACTAAAGAGCTCCGAAGTCGGGCTGGGAGGGAGGCACTGTGAGGGGTCAGGCTGCAGTCAGCGCAGGGCCAGCTTCCCCACAAACTGGCTGTGCGCCAGGTCTCTCCTCACCCAGCAGAGCCAGGGCAGCGGGCACCTGGCACGCAAGGAGTCAAGAGTCAACCAGCCAAGCTACGTCACAGCTGGCGTCCACAGTAAAACGCTAAGCTCAAGTGAGCTTCGATAATGGGTTCCTCCAGAGGGTGCGTGGCGCTTCAGGGGTGAAATTTCAGTCATGCTGGCATCAGGACAGGGGACCTGACAGGGCGGGCCACAGGGAAATGTCAGACGAGTGTGGTAAAACTGAATGACAAGTAAATCAGCAGAAAACTAACAAAAGTAACAATAAAATGAAAAGAAAACAAAGATAGCTGTCCTGGAAAGATGAAAGGGGGGAAGACATATCTCGGGTGACACAGATGACTAGGGAAACCCCCACTGCGAGGGCAGCTGCAAAGCCCCCAGCGAGGCCCTGCTTCAAGCACACACCTCCCCACCCAAAAGTCCCTCGTGAGGGTCTCTGTGACGGGCCAAGTGGTGCCAGCCCTAACCCCCTCCTTTCCCTGCAATGCTTTAAAATCACTCATTAGTTCCCTGGCTACGGCTCAACTTCTCCAGTTATCTTTAAGTCTTAGGAAGTCAGAAACTGTTGTAATTTACCTTTCTATCCCCTTGTTATACCCACCTGGGTTTTTACAAATACTATTTGCAAATCAAAGAGCTCTGCATAAACAACCATTAAGATTCAAAATACAGGGAAAACATAAATGATGGTCTTAAGAAAACTGTCAGTAGAAGTACAAAGTCCTAAAATAACTATCTTTTCCTTAGCAGACTTTGACAACTATCGGGCAGCAAGAGTCATGACACATTTTTTATACAGAAAACAGAAAAAAACACATCATAACTTTATCAACAACCCAATATACTCAGAAATAAAAATAAGATGACACACACTTGCAAGAATAACTAAAGCCTGTGTAAAGCAACTCGTCCAGACTGCCAGCAGTAACAAGAGCAGGTAACAAGCACAGGTGGGCCCCACCTGGCAAAGCCCCTCGGAACCCACCCACTTTATTTTTAAAATCAGAAAACTTTTCTTACAAAAGAGCATTACATTCTGCACACTGCTCTGAACAGACGCCAGGGCACATGGACTGTCACTTTTTCTCCCTGCCCCACCCCCCATCCCCTAGGTATAACAAGGGGATAGAAAGGTAAATTACAACAGGCAAGATGTTCACAGTAATTACACAGGGGCATTTTTCTTTTAAACCACCAGCAATGCATGGTGTCGGATTATGCCAGGTCCCAGACATCAGCAAGCCTCTAAGGCCCCCGCCTAAGACTGCTTAGAAAGCCTTGCAGGTTAGTCCCGAAAATGAGCCGAGCCTATCACCAGCGTCCTCCCTCCCACGCAGCCACACGGCTGAGGCCTGCTCTGGCTCCTCCCTCCTCCCTCTCACCGCCTACCTTCTCCCTCCAGCCAAGCAGTTCCTCAAGCACCTGCTCCTACTTCTGCAATCCTCTGCCCACAGATCTGTGTGTGGTTTCTTCATGTCACTTAAGTCTCAGACAGACATTTCTCAGTCAACCGCCCACCTCTAAATGCTCTTCTATAACCTGCTCTTCTACGGCCTTTATCCGTCGCAGTTACGACAGCCTGTCCCGGATAAGTGTACTCAGGACTGTGTCCTCTGCCAGAGGGCCCCAGAGAAGACACCAAACCCTAAAATTAACAGGTCTGCCCAGGAGAGTATAAGATCCTTGCTGTTGTGGTGGGATTGTGCCTCTTTTGCTGACAGATTACCCAGACCTTAGCACATGTACGGATTAGAAGACAAAAAGACTTGCTGAACAAAAACTATCGCGTTAAGTATCATGTAATTTATACATTAAACTTACACCTTCCTGGCGGTGTAGTGGGTTAAAGCGCAGCACTGCGAAGCTAGCGCCAGCTGCTTCAGCATAAGTTCAATCACCCAGAGGTGACCCACACGGCGTGGCAGAACTCTCTCTGGCACACTGCTCCCCTCAGCAGTGTACTCTGTCCATACCCTGTTCTGCTCCCACTCTGCCTCTGGGGAGTCCTCTCACCACCCCTGAACCTTTGGCCCGTATCCCAGTTTTGTATGCATAAATAAATCTTTAAAAAATATTATATATTGCATATATAAAGATCTGATACTTCCAAACTGACTTAAAGGTTTCAGGTACTACTTCTCATTACTGCTACTATTTAAAAGAGGGAAAAAACTTGAATGTAATGATTATAATCCCTAAATGCTATCAAGCTATTGCTATAATAGATTGTATAACAGATTTTAAAGTGTCACACCAGCAGAACAGAATCAATGTTCACTCTCTCTACATGTATCACAGTAAATAAATCTGACAGATAAAAGCAGTTAATACTTAAAAAAAAAAACAAAATTACATCATTAAACATTAATCTTAAATATTACCTCAGGAACCACTTCTTCTGAGGCAGAAAAGAAGTATGTGTACACAATTAATTCTGATGCTGCATCTATGTATCTCTCCTGTGATAATACAAACAAAAAGGTTGAATTAAGTTTTATTGAAGATGAAAACCAATTCCTCATTAAACATGCAGAGCAAAGCTAGTACTGTGAAGTAGCATCCTCCCAACTTCTGCCTTAAACCCTGATGTGAAGAGAAAGAATACAAAGCATATGAAATAAAGATCATTTGTGAGACAAAGGACAGATGTAGTAAGTACTATATTTAAGGAACTTTGATTTGGAGAAGTATAAAATACATAAACTCAATTCATATTTGTTAATTTAATCTGGTGATCATCAGAAGAAATAGTGTAGTGTATACACACATAAGTAAAATAATCTGAAGTTAATGACCTTTTCCCCTTTAAAAGTTTACATTCAGGGCCCTCCCTGGTGGCGCAGCGGGTTAAAGCACAGCACAAAGAAGCTTAAGCCACTTCCGCATGAGTTCGATCCCCGCCTGCCCCGGAGGTGACCACATGGCGCGGCAGACCTCTCCTGACCCGCCCGCTGCTCCCCTCAGCAGTGTACTTCATCCATCTGCCTGTCCTGCTCCCCGCTCTGTCTCTGGTGAAGCCTCTCACCGCCCCAGAGCCTCTGGCCTGTACTCCAGTTCTGTATGCACAAATAAATAAATCTTAAAAAAAAAAGCTTACATTCAGGGGGCCTCCCGAGCTCCCGAGTGGCACAGGTGTTAAAGTGACAGCACTATAAAGCTACAGCCAGCCATGAGACCTGAGCTCCATCCCAAGGCAGGAAGTGACCCACAAGGTGCAGCAGACTCTCCTGTCTCCCCACTGCTCCCCTCAGCGGTGCATTTCAGCAGCCCACCTGTTGTGCTCCCCACTCAGTCTCTGGTGAATCCTCTCAGCCCGCACCTCTGGCTGTACCATTCTGTATCATTAATAAATCTTTATAAAAGCTTACACTCAAACTACACTTTACAATCTCAAAGACACCAAAATGCTAACAAAGTAATACAAAGTTTAAATAACTAGGTCCATGACAGGAGAAACACCAAGACAAGCAGTAATCACTACACGCGTTTCACTCACTAGTAGCATGACGGCAGTAACTATAGTGGGTACACAAAGAAGTATTTTATTGAAATTATTTCCATGAGAGAGAAGTTAGTTTGCGTTTCTGGTCAAACCTTTGCTACAGAGAAAATGAAATAATAACCTTTGTATTTGTGGATTAAAAATAAAATTATTTGCTACCTTCAAAGGTGACTCTCCACCTATATAAACAAAAAATACACGATGTCTCTTCTGCACATGCTCAAACATTTGCTGACTTGGAAGTGGCCGAATGAGAGCCCTGTTTGGAAACAAAATGAACAACCGAAAAGCAAACTTGCATTTAAAGTAAAGAGAGCACATTAATTTACTGCTACTCTGACAGCCTAATGTATCTACAGTTATAAAACTCTACGAGTACAGTAGCTGCGTTTAAGTGGATCTATCACTCAATCCACATACAGTTGCTAAAACTATAGCTCATGATCACTAGAGTATAGCTATACAATAAAAATACAGTACCTACAATTTAATCTATCAACTTATAAAGTAAGTTTCAAATACATTCCTTTAGAGAATAGTATTTTAGTCAATATTTTGATAGGTAAAAAACAGAAAAGTGCCTTTAAGTGAATGTTCAGCTAAAAACAAAGTAACACACAAGAGGATTGCCTTTTTCTCCCTTTCAAAAGACCAGTCATGCAAACACACTGAAATACCTTCTCTTGGGAAAATATAAACTATATTAGGACTATGCCTTTTCCTGTCAACTTAAACATTATCTAGTTTTAAAATGCTCTATTGAGATTAAAACTAAAGTGTTTTATAAGTATGTTACTTTTTTCAGGAAAAACTAAATAGAAAATGGTTACGTCCTAACAGTACACAAGAAGTTCAAGTGGAAAAAACAGAAGTTAACTGAGTTTTATCATAAAGCACATTTCAAGTTAAACAGACTAAGTTACAGCAAATGTTATTACAAATCATCACTTACAAAATGTAATTAGAAAGCTAAAATAAGAGGCAGTCTTTTAAATGTGGTCTGTCTTATCAGAGCTTTAATCCACCAAATCTACAGAAAGCATAAAATGCATTTTTATAAGGGGCCTAATTCGAAACGCACAAGTCATTGACTGTATTGCATCAGTCTGGTACCATTTTAACACTTTGGTCATTAACTGGTAAGTGATGCAACTTCAGAACTGACTCTTGCAATTTCATTTGCAACAATGTCACCCCTGGTTACATCAGGAAAAACCCTTCCTCCTAAGCTTAAATTGAAACTCATTAAAAATTGTCAAGACAAAAACTAACATAAATCATGGGGGAATAAAGCATATCTCCTAACAATCTCCTCATAAAATAGAAAGTTATCCCATAACTTATTTATTCACAAAGCAAGTAATATGCAATATTCACTAGTAATAGTGAAAATTACATTGATAAACTTTGATACACAAAGATCATTCCTAATTTTGTGCCTTTTCTCAAATAATTTATGCAAATAATAGCACTCATCTAACAAATTCATTCCAACATTTCAATTTATCTTACAGTTATCTTAAAGTTACCAAGGTAACATATCCTGTGTAACTCATCAGAAAGTACCCACAGTATGACTGAATTCAGTAAGTTAACTATCAGGATGAATGTTCCTTTCAAGAACATTCTCTTCATAATCACATTACTTAATTATAAGCAGTAACCTTTTTGTATATCCCTGTAAGGTCATTTATTTTTTTCTTAAATGACCATATTCAAAGCTGCAGGAGATGCCTATAGAAGAAACTGTTTCCTTGTCAGTAAAACTTCAGAGATCTGTAATTCAATTACTCAATTTTTCTGTTTCTAATTATACTACATTCTAAGCAAAAAATGGATTACTACCTCACACGAGGCAAAATGTGACAGTCCCAGTCTAGTATGCTGGTTGTATCTAAAAAGCACTTTCCAGTAGCACATGCTAGAGATTAAACCCTAAATCTACCCAGAATTATAATACTGTGAATGTTTAACTCTAAACATAAGTAACTATAAAAGTAAATTCTTGTAAATCAGGCAGTACAAAAGCAAAATTATAGTAATATAGACTTAAGGTTCACAGCATAGCTAGCTATAAAATCAAATTTTGAGCATCTTCTTTAAAATTCACTGAGGAAAATTCTTCTATACAGAAAGTGAATTTTTTTTAAAGAGTTATTTATTTATGCATTACAGAACTGAGGTAGAGGCCAGAAGCGCAAGGCGGGTTGTGTGTGAGAGAGAGAGGATTCACCAAAGACAAAACATGGAGCAGAAGAGGAAGAGCCACTGAAATCCCTGCTGAGGGAGCAGCAGGGAGACAGGAGAGGTCTGCCGCGTCGTGGGGGTCCCTCCCTGGCCGAGGACGGAAATCACACTGCAGTGGCAGGTGACAGCTTCATAGAACTGAGACTTTAACCACTGCACCACCAGGAGGCCCCGGCAAATGAACTAAAATGTGAGCTCACAGGGCCTCCTAGCAAACTCCGGGGCTGAGTCTTCGTCCTACCACCTCAAAGGCCCTGGGTGAAGGCCTGAGTTCAATCCCCCATCAGGGTACAGCAGAACTCTGCTATCTTGTCCACTGTTCCCTTTGGCAGTGGACTTCAGTGGTTCTGCCTATTCCGTTCTGTACTGTTCCCTACTCTGTCTCTGGTGAATCCTCTCATCCCCTTACCTCTGGTCTGCACCCCAGTTCTTCTGTGCAAAAACAAGTAATTTTTTTTAAATAAATGGTTTCTTTGCATGCACTACATAGTCTTACCTTTCCTCATATTTAGGTCAAATCCCTAAAAATATGTGCTCAAAATCACATTTAATGTTTAATATATAGCAATTGTAGTAATGGTAAAAGCGTTTCCTAGTAAGAACTTACCCAGACACCCTGTGTGCAAACTCAATAATGTCATCTTTAGTTCGTGGTCCTCTATAATTATACGCCAAGTCCCCCTTTAATCTTAAAAAAAAAAAAAAGCAAATACAAGCTTGGATTATTTCAACTGCTTTAATTTTTAATGTTAATTACTCTCGTCACATAAAATTACAGTATATAAAATAATAGCTGTAGAATTTCAGAAGCAAGCAACTGGTTTCAGGAGACCACCAACTCAAAATGTAAAAAAAAAAAAAATGCTGCATTTTATTAAATTACACGTATTCAAGTTAATGAAAATTTATTTAAAAAAATCGTAAAAGCACAAACAGAACATCTATAATTAAACAGAAGAATAGAAAAGACAACACAAGAAATAAGTAGATGAGAAAACTAGTTTAAAGAGGGGGAAAGAAGGAGGTCCACACATAAGAATAAATTAAAATTAGTCAAATTTTAAAAGCTGAAGTTTTGAAATATTGAAATAAAAATTTACTTTCCTATAAATATAAAGACAACTTCCAAAATAATTCCTCTACTGCCCACATTATCAAAATCAGGATGAAAGTCCCGAGAAATCCAATAGAAGTGTGTCTGTAACATATGTCCTTTGGAATCATCACGCCAGTTCTTCCAAATGAAGCACACACACTAGACTAGACCAACACCTCCAGATTAGAATTAACATCCCCCAGTCTGCTCACCCCTCAAAATCAGTCTGACTACAGGACAGTAAATCTGTTAGGCGACAGAATTCACATGAAAAAGCAGAAGTGCCTGCCGAGCTCGTGGGAGAGGCCCCGGCTCAGCCGCCCCCGCCTCCTGCCGCCGTAGGAGCCGCACGGAGCCCGGACGGCGCTCACGAGCGCGGGGAGCCAGGTGCAGGTGCCCCCTGACCTCGCACTGCACCCGAAAAGAACTGCGGGACTCCGGTCTTCACTCCTCCAGGAGGCTGTCAGAAATGAACGTAATACAGCGAAAGCAGAGGAAACTGATAAACATACACATATAAACATACAACACTCAACTTACAGCTTAATTGTTGGATAACCTCGAACTCCAAACTCTGAAGCAATGCCTTGATAAGAAAAAGAATAAATAATTCTAAATTTTTTTAATGAGAAACTAGGTAATAAATGAGCCTTTTACTTAAAAATATAGACATACAAACCTATATAGATTTTCTTTAAGTTTTAAAAAGAATATAAGCACACACAAAAGAAAAAATGTGACACTCTCACACAAAACAGTTAACCCAACCAACGGCCAGCACACAGGACTATGCGAATGCCGAGAACAGCTAATTGTTATCCCTAAACTACTTATGTTAAAGATTTTTGTTAAAAAATACATACACATATAAAGTCTCACTTCTCATTTGATGCCATTTCCAGGACAGATATTTCTTCAAAAAAAAAAAAAAAAAGTTCATCTCTTTCTTCAGTGTTTTCTGAGTCTTAAATGTATTTCATTACTTTAATTTTAAAAACATATTTGCAAAATCACTCAATTTCTGCAATCAATATAAAGTCTAAACACAATTCACCTACTCTTATTTAAAAGTTTCTGCTTTTTAATAACCCAAATAATTCTGATCATTTTAAATATTATTCTGAAATCCAAATATTAAGTAAAATGAAACATAGTTGCATCTTTTGGAAGCAGAGAACAAGTAGTAACAAAAACAAGTAAGCAATAGGGAATTCAGACTTCAAGAAGTATAGAAATTAGAACAGCAAACTAACGCTGTCCTAGTTTACAGACTCAAGGTAATTAGGGCAAGAAATAAGAAATATCTCAGTTAAGGGACAATATATGTTTACACAATTGTGCTATACATACTAACTATATTGTATTTACTCACACGATTTCTCAATTTTCTTTATTTTCAGGGCATTTTCTCATCGCTAATGTGGTTCTGGCTTTCCAAATTACTCTAGTAATCACTGATACTTGGTTTCTCGTCACTCCCCATCAATTCACAAGCGCATAATACCCAAAGTCAATCTGTCTTATCAATTCTTGAGCTTCTTGTCAACTCTCAAGCTTCTCCATTAGACATACAGAGAAATGATTGGAGGGATCTGGATAGCAATTAACAGCTTTAATTTTTCAAGTGAATGTTAAATTTTGAGTTCATTGTAGATTCACAAGGCGTGGTCAGAAATCAGCTGAGCTCTGCCCAGCTCCCCCGATGGGACATCTTACAAAATTACAGTATGATGTCATCACCAGGCTGCTGACTTATTCAGACTTGCCCAGTTTTACTTATATTTATTAGTGACACTGTTTTTTTTAGAGGGAACACAAACTGCAGGAAGTAACATAAATAATGCAGGTTCTGAAGATACAGATGCTGCCTTTCAAATCACATGACCTTAGTTCAATAACAATTATCTGTGCCCATCTCTATTTTAGTACCTAATTCTATTACGTATATCCCAATTGAAAACTGCTGCCAATGAGATTGCCTTCTTCCAAGTAAACAGAGAGGACTCTGGGAATATCATCTGAGCAAAGTGTGTTCTTAATGTCCCTCCTCACATTAAGGAGGCAGGGAACTACAAGCCCTGATTAGCTTAAGACTCATGAAAAACTGCCATGATAGTCCCTTCCTGGTGGCGCAACGGGTTAAAGTGCAGCACTGAGAAGCTATCTGCTTGCACTGCAGCACAAGTTCAATCTCTGGCTAGGGAACTGACCCTCACGGAAAGGCAGCCTCTCCTGACCCACCCACTGCTTGTGGGCCTGCTAGTCCCAGGCGGCCTGTCCAGCCCCCTGTTGCCGCCTACAGTTCCGTGGCCTAAAGCAAGGTCAGAACTGCCCGGTCACAGGAGCCCACCCTACGAGGTGGCTTCGACATCCGTTAAGAGCATGAAGCTGGTCACCCTGGGAAGGGTGTGCATCACGGGGTGTGACGGGGGACGCCTGGGGGGCCGCTGACTGATGTGCAGTGAAGGACCCCACAGCTGATCAGTGGAACGTCTCGTTGACGAGACTGGAATCCCGACTGGCGGTCAGGGCTGGATCTGCGCACCAAGCTGTCAGCAGAGAAGCAGCACAGGTCCACCCTCCCCGCTTCTTCGGCTTCTCCCTCTCCTTTTCTGCTTCCCCAGGTGACCCACGCCGTATGACTGGTTTGCCAAGAACAAGGCCGGGACCTTGCTCTCCAGCAGCGTCCTGCGTGAGGCAGTCTGCGCCACGACTGTCTCTTTATCAGTGAGGTGCTGCCGACGCAGTATCAGTCGACCCACCTGCTCGGCTCCACTGCCTCTGGTGAATCCTCACCTCTGGTCTGTACCCCATTTCTTGTATCAGAACAACTATCCAATAGAGGGACCGGGTTCTATCCAGAATTTCCTATCCAACAAACCTTGGAAATAATCAATTCTAACCCTTCATTTCTTGATCTTGGCTTTTACCGCCGTATGATGGAGATGTGTCATAGCACCTACTCCTAAAACTTCAAATATAGGTTCCCCAGAGGAAAAGGGCCGTCAATTCAAACACACACAAAAAGCACCCAGCAAAGTGTGTACCACAGACATGCCAACAGGAGGGTGAGGGCCCCCGTCACCATCTCGTGTTTATACAGTCCAGGCATGTTTCTTCTTCCTGCTGCCTCTGCTCCCCCACCCCCAGGGATGCGCCTAAACACCCTACAGAGTTCAGGAAGCCACTGGCCCCAGATGTTACTGGCCAGATGCCACTGTAAGTTTACCTACGCCGGAGAGATAAATGCAATCTCACTATACTCAGGTTGATAATGAACAAAACTTACTACAGAAATCATTATTGGTGAGATCACACCAAATTTAGAAAGTCTGAATGAGAAGCGGCTTAGTGGTCATTTTTAAAGGGATATGTACAAAGGAGGTGCATGCATATGCATATATGTCAGATATGACTTATGCCTGACAGTATACTTTTTAAGCTATTTGATTACATTAGAAGCCACACATAATGTCAAACATGTGGACAATTCTCTTAACACTCATGAGAAACTGAGACACTGAGTGTCTCAAAGACAATCACTCGGTTGGCTGTAATCTGAGGCACCATGGAGCACATCAGGTAATCCTCAGGCAGGTGAGGACACTGAGGCCGGAGACCTGAAGAGGACCTAGGAGGACAGAGCTCCAGCAGGCAGCCCACGCTCTGTGTTCTAGTTAGAGAAGTGCGACAGCAGCTCACCTGAAAACCTTTCCGTTTCTTTACCTGCTTAAGCCCTACTCTGGGAGGAAGGGACGGTATTGGAGCACCTTGAAGTATTTAGCTGGATTCAGGAATCATATACCAAAAGTCAATCTGTAATTTGTAGACAGTAGTTTTCGAACTCATCAACTTTTTTTGAAAACAGGGAGATGATAGTATGTTTTGCTCCATAAAACACATAAAATATCTCCTTCATTCTCTAATAAAGTGCAAAGTATATGCCTCATGACACCAAATGCTTAAGTAACCACAGGCAACTTACTTATGTGTATTGGTTACTGTTTGGCTCTTCCCACTACAATATAAATTCCAGGAGAATAGGAAATTCTGTTTTGCTCACCAAAGTAAGACCAGTGCTTAGAACGTGCCTGGCACACCCTGGCACAGGGTAAGGGTTAAATAGTTGCAGAATAAATCAAAGCTGGTGCCACGTGTTTTCCGTAAACAGTGCTTGGACGAGCCAAGCAGTGGGGTTTACAAGCAGGCTCCCCCATGAGGTGGGGTGCAGCCCGGGAGGGGAGGGCTCAGGGGAGGGGAGCCTGAAGAGGACAGTGCGCAGGACACAGCGTCTCCCCTCTGCCTGCTCACAAAGAGAAGTGGTTGTCTAACACGGGTTGTGAGTGAGGCCACCAGAGAGGGCGGCGATGAGGTGCAAGGAGGGGAGGAGGCGCAGGGTGCACACAGGGATGGAGCCGGGGAGCTCAGGGCAGAGCTGCACGTGCAGACCTACCTCACCGGAGTCATCTGTACACGCTCAGCATTTGAAGCACTTTCTACTCTAAGCTACTGAGATCCAAAAGTCTTGGCTACTTTCTCCCTAATCACAGTGCTGCCTATAGTGACACACAGGGATAGCTGATAAATATGGAGCAATAAGTTAATGAATTAGATCCTACAAAAAGAATTTTGACTTAAACTGTTACCACAAGTCTGATTCATCACATGAGTGGTTCATGTGATCTGGCTGATGTCAGGGTACTATCTGCTTTATTCTATTTTTCCTATACTCCTACACTCCTACATACACAACTCTATTACTCTGTTAAATAAATGACTGAGGTGCACAAAAGTATTTGTCACACTAGATTTTATTGCATTTGCTGGTCTGGTCCTCTTTCTCCTGCATTTCCAGGACTGAAAGGATTTGTCTTTGTTCATTCTTTAATCTCTAGAATATGAGGAGTGAGCTCGACAAACAGCAGCTGGTAAAAGAGCCCTCACGGTGTCCGGATGACTACCCGAGAGGATGCATGGGCGTGCCTGTCTAACCAGCAAACGTGTCTAAAAACGAGAACTCGCTGTCAGAGCTGGCCTTGAGAATTTTGTGATTATTGTTCTAAGAAGCTTACTTCAAGAAAGATCAACTCAGGCACATTATTCTCTCTGCACAAAACCCTTCCGCCCTGGAGCTCTTCTTGAGTGTCAGCAATGCAACTGTGTCACTCAATTCTAGCCTCACGGCTCACCTTCTAGTTTGCCTATTTGCAAACACCAATAAAGCAAAACAGCACAAATTCCAAACAGCTGCTAATAGCAAAACAGAACAAAACCCAAAGGATTCAACGTCCCTTTCTTTCCCGCATAACCAGGGCAGCACAGCTCAAACCCTACCCCTGAAGGGCACATCATCTCCCCCAGCTCTTTATGTCCCAGTGCCAACCTGTCACACCTGTCACACACGCTGGAAAACAGGGTCGCTGCCTGGTCTTTACTACCACACCCAAAGCCGGGCTCCAGCATTCTCTGCCAGAATGTGACGGAAGTCAACTAAGAAGAGTTTCCTGTCTCGGGTGCATTTCCTTTCCACCCTACACGGTGCTGCTATAAACATGTGTACTGAGTGATCTGCATTCTCAAAACACTATCCCCTCCCAATGGCAACTGACAGAATCTACAACACACTGGCTCTGGAGGCCCTTAAAATCTGGCGTTATCCCTTAGCACCTTGTGTTTTCAATATGAAATGTTAAATACAAAAAACCCATTAATACTAAGTATTCATTTGCCCTCGCATGAGGGCACTAACCCTCCTTTTCACAGGTGTAGAACTGACATGAACAGAGTCCGCACTCCCCAAAGCCACCTAAGCAGGGAGTGGAGGCAGAGCTGCGGCTGCAGCACGTGTGGGTCGCTCCACAGACAAGGCTGTTTTCCTAAAAATACACCTTACATGCCTCACTTCCTTTATAAACTGAAGAAGCAAACTACATTAATTGAAGACAAAGACTTCATATGTGACACACAATTTACACCTCAAGACTCTTTCATTAAAAAGGACTCAAGTCAGGTATTTCTACCGGGAAACCGAAGCCTAGCCATGTGAAGAAACTAACCGCAGCCATCAGCAGGTGGGCCCAGGTCCGCCTCCGTGCTCGCTGCTCGCAGACTGCAGGGCGCCGCAAGCCGCTCTAAACTTAAGCCCTACTCCCACATCCCTGAAGACAGATGCCGGCAAACCTCTGTAAAGCGTCGAGCAATGAGTAGCTTAGGCCTCGTGGGCCACACAGCCTGTTACGGCTACTCCACTCGGCCACTGGAACAAAGAGCCACAGACTCAGCCAGCAGGGAGACGGCGAGCCCGAGCACTCCTTTGACAGAAGCAGCTGAGGAGCCCAGTGCCACCCACCACCCCGCCGCCAACCTCAGCTGCAAGACATTCTAGTCCCCAGGGGGCGCCACTGAAACTCACTTTAACATCGCGACTCTGCCTGGTCTTCTGCACCCCAACACCTGAGCCCGTTCTCCCAGTCCCGGGTCCTCCCCTATCACTGCCATGGCAGGCAACGCGGAGAGACTACAAACTTACAAACTCCACGCTTTACTCTCGTTCACTCAGCAAGAGCAAGTGTTAACACTCCAATCTCCAGTTGCTTCAGATCAACTGACTACCTCCAGTCGGTTCAAAGCAGGAACAACAGCTTACACGTCCATGCCACGCAGGAGTTCACCATGTATTGCATATTACACATTCAACGGTCATTTAACCAACAGTCTGGAATTAAGATAACTTTAATTTTACACAGGTAAAAAAATAGGTTTTCCTCCTACCTTAAATACTGCATCAGTAAAGAATCTTCACGATAAGAACAGTAGAATAGTAAAACAATTAATGCTTACTAGAATAGGAAGTAGCATCCATCTTTCCAACTTTAACTGGCGACCCAATGCTTTTCATCTCAAGACCAACTTCATTCCAAATCGGTTCCAGTTTTTTACAATGGCCACACCATGGTGCATAAAACTTGTTTTGAAAAAAAAAAAAAAAAAAAAAAAAAGACAACCAAAAAAAGACAGTCACTTTCAATGATCGTCTAATAGTCTGTTTTAGACATACAGAAACTTCCACGTGTAATTTTTAAAATGGCTGCTTAATACTAGGTAACACACACCTGCAGAGAGCAGATTAATACCCGGCATTTTCCTCAACAGTGACGCTTCGAGTTTACTCTGAAGGACTTGTGCCTGGCAGCTATTCACAACAGAGGCACAGTTTGCAATAAAACACCTTCACTGTCATACGGAGCAGGAAGCCACCAAATACACATCACATGCATATGCCCCGCCCCCCGGCTTCATAAACTCCAACTCTGCTGCTCTGAAGCATCCTTTTTGCTTATCATTCTTCTCTTTTACTGAGACAAGTTACAACAAATCCCCAAACATTGCAAGGTTTAAATATGTCCCAAACTTGAAAATGAGGAAAGAAGATGAACATGTTTTTGACAGCCAAACAGCATTAATGTACTCAATCTCTAGAAAACATGAAGAAATAAGGAATTCTGCAACAGAGTCATCCCATGATCTCCCTCAGACATACTCCACAGGTTCTCTCGTCAAAAATAGGTTCCACTGCCAGGAAACTGTTTTGGTTCCTGAGGTTCATTTTAATATAAATGAAAAAAAGCAAAAACAAACAAATTGAATGAAACACAGCAGTACAAACTACAGCTTGTCATATTGGGTACAGAATACAAAGTAATTAATTACAAAAATTTACATACTCACATCTACAAGCCAAATGTCATCTTTTCGACTGTCTTTAAACCTAGAAAACAAAAAAGAACACAAATCTTTGGGTGTACGTTTGTTTCATTTCACGACAGAGTAACTGGGAGTGGTAAGCTGATGAATATGGGAGCCTGAACAAGTTCTTTGAATAAAATTGTATGTAAAAGTTTTACTCAGTGACCTCTAAATCTTAATCATCGAACATCTTAACAAAAGCAACTAATAAAAGTCGGAGCAAAGAAATCTTAAACAAAAACTGGCAGAAACAGCTGTGTGCCTGTTCCTCCTACATCTGTGCCAGACAGGTGACCCCGCAAGACTGGTTCTCGGTTTTCACTGAACTTGAACTTCAAAGAGCATCCTCGCCACTTTGCCACTTTCTGACAAGCTCAGTATTCCTGTGTGGTTCATGCAAGCAACACAGTTTTACAAAGAACAGCTGCCTTCCTTCGAGGAGTCTGAAATTTTGGCGCACGCCAGGCAGAAGGGTGCTTACATGAACCCCAACAAAATCCCTGGGCACTGAGTTTCTAATGAGCCTCTCTGGTAGATCACATTTCACACTCCCCCGACGGAAGAATTAAGCTCACCCTTTGGGATTCTGCTTGGAAACATGCTCCTGGATTCTCCCAGAGTCCGCCCAGCAGTTCCCCTGAGGAGGCTGCTTCTGTCCTCTCACTGTGACTCCTCGTAGCTACGGCTGCGCTGCAGGCTGAGTGTCACCTTAGTGAGTGGCCTAGTGAGTGCAGACGGGGGTGCTGAGAGCCAAGACACAGCCCTCAGTGGCCAAGCCATCTCCCTAAGATAAGATGAGGATCACTTTCCTCTTGGTTGACAGGTTCTAGGCCCACGTCCACCATCTACAAAAGAAAAGCACAAATCGCCACACTTCCCTGGCTCCAGGTTTCCTTCCACTCAACTATGACACCCCACGACTTCCAATCAAACTACGCATCTACTGACGTCACAGTTAGGTTCACAATGCTTATCTGACCTTTACATTCGCTCAGCCCAATCCTTTCCAGCTAGTATCCCTTACTTTGCGCCTTTGCAAATTGCTCAGTCAACAAACAATATCATGTATTCTTTGTCGCTTTGTTTCATCTCCTGATAGTCTGTACAGCGACCTAAATTCAGTCAATATTGGATAAATGGCAAAAGTCCTCTAGAGGGATATTTAAATAAAACTCCTAAACCTACAGTTAATGTGCAGCAAATCCACTTCTCTGAGCTCTGAAGTCCAAGGGTGCTCACTTTTACCCAGCTGTGACAGTATGAACTATTCCACAGGCAGGCAGAACCCCTTACCCACGCCCAGGCTGGTGAGCCCAAATCTTTTGTCTTTGCTCCCCAGTGTTAGGCAGAGCTGGACCCGGCAGGCGGACATCCGCCTGTGGGGATGCCCAGGCAAAGCAGCTCAGCCACCTGAAGCTGCAGAACTGGAGCCTGTAGGCACTGTGTCCAGGGGAGAATGGGCATCAGTTTCCCACTCCCTGACGTTTCAGGGCCACTCATCTCCCCCTGACCTGAGTCTTCAGGCGACGTTAGGTGACAGGATGATCCTGGGCCCCGCAGGGAGGCCAAAGAGCAGCTGTGAAGGCCGCACCTGAAGGAGGGGCAGGCTACCGGGTCAAGCACACAGTGCTCAGCAAAGTGCCCAATGGGGAGCGGCAGCCCCGACGCCCTGAGCACTCGTCTGAGGCATCCCGTCAGCCGACTAAGCCTGTACCTTAACAGGTCATGGAAATGGATGCTCAACCACCACAGCGGTCAGGACTGACAGAGAACAGAGTCCACTGCACGCTACATAACGGGTCCACTGACAAGCACTGTGCGCCTGAGATGCAAATCTAGGTCTGCTAGAGGCCAAGTCAGCCCGCAGGGACGCGACGGGAAAGAGACGCGGCACGGGACCTAAGAGCGGGGCCTGAGTAATGGGTCAAAAGGGAGTGGCTAGGTCAGGCCCCACTGTCAGGACCCAGGGGAAGGCCAGGGACTGGGAGCTAGGGCCGCTCTGGCCCCCAACATTGGCACACCTACTGTGTGGACCAGGGCGTGGCCAGCAGCCTTCGGGCGCGCTGTCCCCACAACGGCAGGCGTGCACGCCAACCCAGGCCGGGGCCAGGCAGTGCCTGCATTCCCGTGGCCAATCTCCGGCGCGCTTAGGAGACAATCAGCTAGCTGCACGTCCGCTCGTCTGGGTGAAGAACAATTCAGTTTCTGTAGTTTCTGTAGTTCACCGACGAGGGTGGCATGTGCAGTGGCTGAGTTTGCCTTTGTCAATACCAGATCTTTCAAGGGCGCATCCACATAGGGGACAACATTTAGTAGGAGAACTGACCTCTAGCCAAGGCTCCTCTCCACAGAGGTCCACTACTAACGGCCAAGCCATGAGCTGCAGTCCAGGCAACAGTGAAAACACTGGAGGGTTTGCTTGCTGGGGTGGGTGAGGAACGGGGCAGGCCAACGGGGCAGTCACCGAGTCAACAGTGCCCCTCGCTGCCCGCCCGCACGTCCTTCGCCGGCGCGAGACGCGTCTCTCGGCATGACTGTGAGCCGCATGCTGCACTTACCCACCGCGTTCCAACAGGCCAGTGACTGCCTCTCAATAGGTGAGGGTCTTTCATTCACCCTGGGGAGCTTCCAGGCCCTCCCTGACCCATGAGATTACCCCTCTGGGCAGACACCAGAGAGGGAAGGACCAGGTTGCTCAGACGTGCACATCAATGCGGATGTGGGTGAGCAGGCCCAGGAAAGGGGAAGTCCGGTGTTCTGCTGGGGGGTTCCCCGCTCCGTTGGGACCCCAGGCAAAGCAGCAGCTGTCTGGTAAGCTCGCAGGTAGGTGACACCAAGCTCCCCATCTGTGTTACAGGACAGCAGCAGTTGCCAAACAGGCCCAAGTCTCTTTTTCATTTTGGGGGGCTGAAAGGCCCAAGAGCTTGGTAATGACCTTTTCTGGAATGAGAGGTGGTCCGCTGCCCAGCTCATGCCCAGAAATTCAGTCGGGTAGTAGATTCTTGCCTCTTAATGGCCTGGCAGCATGGCACATTGGAATCTAGGGTGTCCTGCCCTTGCTGGGCTGTGCCCTTGTGTCATTCCCTCAGGCAGGTGCCATCAGTGTAGAGGAAACGCAATGCTCCCCCCAGGAATTTGTTCCCCGTACCACAGCCTACCCCTTAATAGCGGGGGTGGGCTTGCAGACAGCCTTACTGACATGGATGGGGAAGTGCTCACGGGACCCTGGTGCTTTCAGCTCTTCCTCGAGCACCACAGTGAGCAGCACCAAGTGCGCCCGTGGAGGTGGTTAGTCAGGACAACCAGCCAAACTGCAAGCTTTGCAAGTTGCACTTTAAGGCGACGATGCAAGTCAAGAGGTTAAAAAAGGCAATGCCGATACCCCAGTGTTCCGTCTTTCCAAACAGAACGGCACCAGGCAAGGGCCAGGGGGGCGCAGCTGAGGCGCAGTGAAGCGAAGCCCTCTTGGCTGGCGGTGGGCAGAGGGAAGGGGAAGGGAAAGGATGCAGCGTGCAAAAGTACTGAGTCCAAGCAGAGTAAAGGGCCTTGGCCGAGCCCCACGAGGACTAAGCAGTGTGTGAGGAGACGCCCAGCAAGGAGGCCTGCACAAGGAGACATGCGGCTGGGGACACGGACACCGAGGGTGCCGGGCCCAGAGCTGGAGTCTGCGGCTACCGCTCCCTGCAGGGAGGCGCGCAGGCTGTGGGGAGGCCAGCCTCCCTCAGAGGCTGCTAAGAAAAACCTCGCAATTTTATAGGCAGGCCTGAAAGGTCACACCCAGCTTTGATCTGGAACTGGACTCCTCACCTACGATAAACCAGGCCTTGGGATTAACGCCTGAGGTAAAAGACACATGCTGCAGTTACCTACATCCAGCGGCCACTCGCAGTGATTAAGGCAGGAAAAACACGGCCAAGTGGCACCATCGAATACAGAACGTGGAAGAGTGTGTCTCCTATTTCTGATCTTTTAACTCTCAAACTCTTGTGCACAAGCCCATTCTGCACGAATACAGCAGTCGGACAGCTCCTGAGGTGAAATCGGTGCTATGGAAACACCTCTCAATACAGACTCTGTTTTTGATTTGATTCATACCAACGAACATCAAGAGTTGGAAGAAATTAGGATACCACTGAAAAATATAGATACTCACGATTCATCCAAATCTTCTACAAATCCTTTACTGAGCACCATATCAAGCAAAATAACTGAAAAAACAAACAAACAAAAAAAAAAAACTGTAGACGCTGCAATAAACACCCACTTACTACTTATGGCTTGTATTACGTGCTTAGTCACCTATGAAATGTTTTTGATTTTTGCAACCGACAAAAAAAAAAGCATCATTGGTACATTCCAGGGCATAAATGATGAAACAGCCTAGGCAGCCCCCAAGTTGACTGATTATTTTTTTGGGGCGCAACCAATCTGGCACAGGCAAGGTGTACGCGGGCTGGCAGATGTCCGCGGAGGTCTTTTTGCAACATGCTGAACCGGCAACCCATTTGTCCTAGTTACTGTTGCACCTTCTCAGAGTACATAAAGAATAGGGGTCTTCTGTGGTCCCCTTTTCGCGAGTAGCCGGTCATCTCAGTATAAACACGCCATTCCCATCCTAACAGTTTCTGAAGGACCCCTGCAGTCCTGACAGTCCAGGGCCCGGCTCCTCGCCTGAACGAAATGGCTGCTGAGTCAAAGGGATGAAAACCGGGGTACCCGAAGCTGCTACGGGGCGGGGCCTTAGGTGTCGAGGTCACTTCACACTGCCCCACCCCGGGGGACTGAGCATGGTGTCCTTGGCCATCGCTCCTAGCCCCTGCGCGGGTTGAAACTCATCAGAGGAGGCTCAGACCTGCGGCCGAAGAGGTCTGGCCACGAGCCGGCGGGCGGCACCCCCAAGGCCCCGGACGGGGTACCCCGGGCACCGCTGGACTCCTGCCAGTCGGAAGCAGAGGGCGCGGGGCCGAGACCCCGTGGGCCCGCGTCCCGCGCA